AAGGTGGCGGTGGCCTTGCAGAGAGAGGTGTTGGCCCTGTGATTGCCCCTCTTCCTGTCCTCTTCCTGTCCTCTTCCTGTCCTCCGTGGCCAACTCTGGGAGAGAGGCGCCTTTCTCTGAGATAGAACGAGTTCATTATACACAAGGAGCCACCTCTGTGACGGCAGCCGTCTGCCTTGCAAAGCCACGCTGAGCCCGGGGAGGGGATGTGAGCGGGCGGACAGGGTGAGCGTAAGGGTTCAAAGACAGACGAGCTCTTCTCCCGAGGCAGCGAGGGAAACCACGGGAGAAGGACATGGTGGGTGGAGGCCTAGGCTCCTGGTCACTGGGCACGAGGCGGCTGGTCTCAGGCCTCGCCCACCAAACCCCTCCCTCCCACGCGGGCTCCGGGAGTTGCTGCTGCTGTCACCATGGGAGGGCGGGTCGGCAGGTGCACAGATGGTGTGTGTGTGTGTGTGAGTGTGTGGAGGGGGGTAGGGGGGCCCGACCGGCCTGCAAGAAAGCCACGCGCTCTGTCTTCCTGAAAACCTGGGGGACACGGGGGTGGGACTTCCCAGTGCCATCGCCTTCTCTCGTTGCATCGTCCACTTCCCTCGGAATGCTTCGCTTTCGGTGATGGGTGGTTGGACGCAAAGGACAGGAGAATAAAATAAATGACTTTTAACCAATATTGGAGGCCCCCAACCAGCCTGGCCCTGTCAGCCTGGCAACGTGATGGCGTTTGAGATGCTTCGCCAGAAAGTAAAGTAAATAAATAGAATGCTTTTTCAGTGCTTCCCGGGGCTCCGCACGGCACCGCCACCCCGAAGCCATCTGTGCTGATTCCGAAATGCCCTGGCAGGCAGCTGCTGGGTGGCCCCACCCCCGCGGCGGCCCGGAGTTTCTGCGTGTCCGTGCCAAGCCTGTCGCTGCGGAACCAACCCAACTGGCAGAACAGGAATGTGGCGGGCGATCCCTGGGCCGGGAGTCAGAGGAGCTGTTTACATGGCGGAGGTTGCTAAGGAGCCAGCAGCACACGCACCAGGTGCCTGCTGGGACACGTCCTGCTGGATTAGCTCGGCCTGTCATCTGCAGCTGCAGCCTGCTCTCCCGTGGGCAGCCCTGACGTTGGGGGATGGCCGTCCTATCGCGGTGAAAGCAGCTCTGGCCCTACAGGGACGCCCCCTGGGCTCCTGGAGGTTACAGAAGCAGAGAGACGTCTGAGCCCGCAGGCCGATCTGTTTTCCTCCTGGAGGACTGGCACCTGTGTTCTCTGTGGGTGGGGGAAACACTGTCCTTTTCCGGCCTAACTTTTCAGGAAACATTTTCTGCGATGGCCAGCCAGGTCCAGCTGTTGTCGTCACGAAGGAGCCTTCCGGGAGGCCCCTCTTCGTTGTCCTCACAAACCGGCCCGTGGTCGATGCTGTGGCACCTGGATAGGCCAGACCAGCGCCGAGCTCTCGAAGGCTCATTCGCTCGAGCGACTGATGAGCATATTTGTGAATGGAGGGAGGGACGGGCATAGCCTGGTAATGCCACTGAGTCAACATACAACCTAAAGGCAAACCTGTGCAAAGTCACTCACCCTGCCGGGTGCCAGCTCACAAGGCAGAGGAGGCTGGTCTCTTTAGAGAGCTCCATGCATTGGCTCAACAGCACACAGAGAGCCCCAAGGGATGCGGAGACCAGAACGGCGCAGGCCCTGCCCGCGGTGATGTAGGCATGTGCACAGGGGAGGCGGACGCACAAGCCGCTCATTATAACCCGAGGGGAGGGCAGTGTTCGTTACTAAACACGGAGAGTCTAACCTCAGAGAAACCTGCTATTTCCAGCTGAAGACCACAGCTGCATTTTAGGCAGCGAAGAGGCCATTTTACTTCTACCGGCGGTCTCTCTGTACGAACAGGGACTCATAAAGTATTTACCTGCCCGTGACCTTAGGATTGGGGCTGGGATTGTGTCTGAGAGCTCCCTCGAAGAAGCTCGGACCACTCACTGGGACCTCACGCTTAGTTATGGCCACGCCTTGAGGTGGCATACAGCCTAGAGTGTGGTAGTCATTTCTCACTTCCTGGAAGGAACCTTCACTGAAGAAGGGAATCTGTAGTAAGCCAGGTGTTTTAATAAAGTAGCATGTTCCTCCCACCTCCTTCCGTCACAGGGGTTGGCAAAGTTGTACTGAGAAAGGCTAGACAGTAAATAGTTTAGTCTTTGCAAGCCCTGCATCCTCCCTCCCACACATGCAGTTCTGCCGTCTTAGCAGAAAAGCAGCCGTGGACAAACAGGCAGCACATACATGGGCATGACTGTGTGCCAATAAAACTTTATTTACAAAGCTGGGAGCCTGGCTAGATTTGGCCCCCAGGCCATCGTTGACCAACCCTGGCCTAAAAGTGACTTTTTGTTGTTGTTAGTCTTGGACATTTGCAATGTCCTGAGGGTAGACTGCGAGGAGTGACGGGGGTTTGGGGGGTCGGGAAGCCAGCGTCAAGGCCCGGACCCTCCACCTCGCTTTCATGTGATGCCCGTCAGTGATTTCATTCTGTCCCAGTCATCTCAGTGAAACAAGGAGATGGACAGAGTGACGCCTGAGGTGCCAGGGACCACTGGCGTTTTCTGTTTCTGCAAAGACACGGGACCTGATGAAGTTCCCCACCGGCAGGAAATGTAGCGAGAAGTACTGCCTCCACCGGAATCTGGATAGCCCGGAATCATGGACTCGGTCTCAGAAAGTGAAATTCAGTGGGAAAACGCATGGCGCCCAGCACTTGGGTTTTGAGCCGATTCAGTGTCTGCAGACAGGCCGAGAGGGCCCGGGGCTGCAGCGCCAGGAGAAAGGTATGAGCTGATGACTAAGCTCCTGGTGAGTCAGCAAGGTGGCTGCCCCTCAGGCTGAGCGCTTCTTGGCTGCGTTCCAGGGGGAGAGTGTGCAGGAAAGGAGGGCAAAGCCCTGGCTGAGCCCCGAGCGAGAGGAGGGGACCGCGCCTCCAGTCTCAGACCCCGCCTTGTAGGTCAGACGTAGGCCTGGAGCGGGTCCCAGCAGAGGGACCGCCCAGCCTCTCCTTGAGGGGGTGGGAGAAGAGGCCCATGGGTGAGTAGGGAGGGAGCACGAGGGAGAGAGACAGGGGGATGAAAACTGCCACAAGTAAGAGTTCTTAGAAAATGACTTTTCCAAACAAAGCGTCTACCGTCAGCATCCGGATGAGCACCCGGAGCGTGACAGGCCTCCGATGTTTGTCGGGAGAAAGACTCTAAGCATGTGAAGAACGTTCAAGTGGAAGAAGGATTCTGCTTGTTCTTGGTGCCATCAGAGATCCAACTAGGACGGAGGGAGGAGGCCATGGGGCTGCCCAGCTCAGCAACTGGGAGGTGTGGTCTGTGCCCTGCACCCAGGAGGCCTCTGCACACTGAACAGACTCTCCCTCCCTCCCCCCCCCCCCAACTGGTGGCAACCTCCCATTGTATCCACGGCAGGGCCGGTGGACAGGACTATGGACTCGATCTTCCCCGAAGGCGGGTTCAATGTGTTACCTTCAGCCCTGAGAGGCCGCTACACTTGCATTTCCTGCCCACATAGGCGTCCTGGCCGCCCACACTCTGGCGCCCACAGGGCAGCGTGCGCTGGGGCTGTGTGAGATGGCTTTTGGCTGTTCCGCAGACTGACGTGTTGTATTCTAATATCTACGTATTTCTTTTGTTGTGTGTCAGAAAAAAAATAAAGCTAGGACGTCATAATTTCAGAGACATTATCTAAGTCAAGGCTACGCTGAAAAAGCCAGTGAATTTAGAGCTGGCTGCGTGAGAAATATGAAGGAAACAGCACACGCCTGTATTCAGGTTGGCCAAACATTGAGAAAGCAGTTTGGGACTAGCTGAAGTCTGTTCTAAGTAAGCTCTCTGAAACGCTCAGCTCTGAATAAACATCACGTTACATTTCGTACGGGTCTCCCAGCTCCATCTGCCACCCCTCACAGGACTCTTTTCTCTATCGCACAATTCCATCTCTCGTCAAGACTCAGATGACCTCCTTTGAAAAAAATGCAGTAGGGCCCTTGGAGGAAATTCCCTAAGAGGCAAAAAGCAGAGTGAGGCAGTGAAGTCTTATTCCGACCCCCAGCTGACCCACTGCTTCCATTCCCCTCCCCGTCCCTTCCTGTCTCTGAGCATTCATCATGGGGTAGGCATCTTAGATATATTTTTTGCTTTAAATTTAATGTACCCAAATGCTGTTGCCAATGCCTCTGGACTGCATGTCTTGCTCTCGGCATGGTTTGGCCACTTGTCATTCCTCAAACCTAACATAGTCATTTTTCCTGCCTCGCTTTGACCTTGATGTCCTTGTGACAGAAGTGGGGTTTACATGGTAGGTCAGGTGCTAAGAGTTTTAGCCTTTTCTCCAAATTCCTCCACGAGGAAGCGTTGGATACCCTCATTTTTCTTGTCTATAATTTTCCTTGGGGTTTTGTAATTTTAAGTTTTCCCTGGAACTCTGTCATTCCATTTCCTTTTTCCTCTGATCTTCCCAGGGGGCTCTTCCGTCAGCCATAGCCTCTCCCCTAGTGCACTCAAGTCTCCTTCTCCCCCGGTTAAACGTGTTTAGAAGTTCCCAAGGAAGGACTCCGTGTCCCTGGATGTAGGCAGCTCATGCCTCTGGTTTTGCCCTGTTTCAAGAGAGCATTTTCCCTGTTCTCCCTTTTCCTTCTAACCTGGCCCAGGACACTGAAAATACTGACCTCTTCCTATCTGTTTACACCATCTACGTGCACCATTTACGCTGCACCTTTATTTGATGTGTGGCTTTCATCTTGGATATGCTCCACATAAAATGTGCATTTCGCTGTTCTGGGCCAAGACATGGAAGCGATCCGGAAATCAGGATGGCCCCGTTGGGTTTGGACAGTCCTGCAAAGCGGGCAGTTAGGCTCCGGGGAAAGCTGAGCTCTGTAGACAAGGCGTATAATACGAAGAAAAATATATATAATGGGTATAACGGGTTGTTCTTTGTGTGGGTTTCTTTAAAGGCTGGATTACAGTGGACCTTCCAGAGAGTTCTTCTTCCTGGTGTCCAGAGAACTCTTTAACCCGTATTACGGCTTATTCGAATATTCGGCCAATGACACCTACACAGTGCAAATAAGTCCCATGTCTGCTTTCGTGGACAATCACCATGAATGGTAAGTAAATGTTTTCCTCGACACTTTGCTTCTGCTGATTTCCGTGATACTCATTTTAATAGGAATCCTCATTCTAACACCATTTCCCCCCCGGAGAAAATCTTATTTTCTTATTGCCCTGGCTGGTATGGCTCTTGTTTATTTTTTGATAATCCTCACCAGAGGAGATTTCAGGCATTGTGTGTGGTTTTTTAGAGAGAGTGGGAGGGAGGAGGAGAGACACACAGAGAGAGAGGTTAACTTGAGAGAGGCACGTTAATTGGTTGCCTCCTGCACGCACCCTGCCCAGGTCCTTTCCTTTTTTTAAAAAAATCCCTGCATGTATAGACTTTAGTTTTATAACTCCGTTTACTTGTTTCTGCTCATTTTCACTGATCGTGACCAAATATATACACACACACACACACACACACACACAAAAAAAAAAAAAAAAAAAAAAAAAGAAAGAAAGAAAAGAAAAAACTAGTAGGACTCATGAAAAAAAATTGAGTCATGAGGTTAGTATTGGCGGGTGGAGGGCATCACTTTTAGGACTTATTTTTCCAATTAACTTCCGTTTGGCTCCTATTTGGAGTCCTCCCAACGGAAACTGTCGCCCTTATGCTAGCACTAGCGGAAAGAAGGACAAACAAAGCTGCCGGACAGCCGTCCCCTGGTGGTTTGGCTGCGAACCCTCCTGTTCCACAGGCAGGAGGGAGCCCGGTGGTGCTCTTGGAAGACTCAGAGCTAGAAACGGGTGACTTCTGAAAGAGAAAACAGGGCACAGCTCACGCCGGCAAGCCCAGTCATCCCAGAAGACTTAGTGAAGTTCCCCCAGTGATTCAGAATGGACTTGAGCCTGGAGGTTTTAGGGAACAGAATGTGCCGGGAGGAAACTCCCGCAGATGCCCATGTGCTTGGCTCTCGGTGGTGACAGGGATCGGGCGTGGGGCTGGGGAGGCCGCAGGGAGAGGCACCGGCTCCCTCTGAGCCCGGGGTTTCCTCCAAGGGAAGGGCTGTGGGGTTTGTAGGAGAGAAATCCCACTCATCTTCCTGCAAACCGGGAGAAGACAGAGTTTTCTCCTCCACACCGGGCTCATGCTGTCTGCCACCCGGAAGCGGCTGGGGGGATTGCGCTGATGTGCACACAGGGGACTCCTGGTGGCCACGCGGGAGCAGGTGATAGACGTGGTTGGCAAGGGTGAAGGTGCAGCAGCGTGTCTGTGAATATGAGCAAGGCACCTTCCACTCGCAGATGTGACTGTTGGCCTCAGGAAGACACAGAGCAGTGGTTCTCAACCTTCCTAATGCCGCGACCCTTTAATACAGTTCCTCATGTTGTGGTGACCTCCCCCCCCCCCCCGCCCCCAGCCATTAAATTGTTGTTGCTACTTCGCTTCAACTGTAATGTTGCAACTGTTGTGAATCATAATGTAAATATCTGTGTTTTCCAATGGTCTTTAGGCTCTACAGGTCGCGATCCACAGGTTGAGAACCGATATTAGGGTCGCCCAAGACCATCGGAAAACACAGATAGTTACATTATGATTCATAACAGTCGCAACATTATAGTTATAAGTAGCAACGAAGGTTGAGAACCACGGGCCTAGAGGGCACACACACACACACACACACACACACACACGCCCGTGGCCCGGTAGGCAGTTGACCTTGGACAGACGTAGCTGGTTCGAGCTGGAAGGCGTTCTTCCAAGCCAGCACAACGGCGTAGAGCCTGGTCCATGACGTGCGCGTGACCCCATGCTTCTCCTCCGCAGGTTCCGGTTCAGCGGTAGGATCCTGGGTCTCGCACTGATACACCAGTACCTGCTGGATGCCTTCTTCACCCGGCCCTTCTACAAGGCTCTCCTCAGAATGTAAGAGGGTTTTTACTGCTCCAGTGTGTTTGGCGTGTAAGGCTGCAATGTTTCCTTTCTTGCAAAGGGTTTCAACCCGTTGTCACCAACCTTCAGAGAGGGTTAGATTTCCGGAACGAAGACAGTGGCTGCGTTGTTCTTGCTTCGGATCCCTTCCTTCTGTCTCGCCCCCCCAATGTCTTAGTTTTGATGAACTTCAAATAATTGGTTGTCATTGGTCACAACACATGTTCCTTAAAAAAAAAAAAAATGTACTTCAAGTACAGCACTGGGATTCCTGTGGCCATAATGCTGATTATTAATAGAATCCTGGTGGGTTGGCCTGGGTGACTCATGGCCCTCTAGCTGTTAGATGAGGCCCTTCGTGTTTTGCTTTATGCACACTTTTAACCGCTTGCTCTTAGTCCACATTTCCATTCTCACTGCTTTGGCTGTTGCCCTATTTCTGTGTGTGTGTGTGTGTGTGTGTGTGTGTGTGTGTGTGTTAGGGCTGGGCAGTCCTATATTTTCCCTGAGATCTCCCTACATGCAAAACGGTACCTGACGAGGGCAGCGGAGAAATGGGCATTCACAGAACTCTTCTTCGTGGTTGTCACAGTGAGAGCTTGCAGTCATTGTCAGATGTCAAGCCAGACAGTCTCTGTCCTGTAATCAGTAGGCGCTGACAAGGCTGAACAGGAGACGGGGCCTGTCTGTGGGGCTGGGCCTCACACTTGCAATGGGACAGCACAGATGGTTGGTTCTGTGTAGCTCACTCCCTGAAAACGGAAGCCTAGACCTCAATGAAATAAGGTGTATCTAGGGGGCTCATTTGAAGGTCAGTAGGATGACTTCTGCCATCTTCCCCTTGGGTACCTGGGCAGATGAAGCCCCGGGCAGCTGGGCACTGGGCACCTTCTCCCGTGGGTCCCCGGCTCCTGTTGTATCGTCCCATTTTGTGGCTTCATCTCTCATGTTCTCATTTAGGCTTTCTGTGAGAGCAGTCTATACCAGCTGCTGGCACACCCTCCACCCACGGTGCCTGGCTTCTTTCCGCCAGTACCCTAGCGAAGCTTTTACAGAATATTGTTTTGACCTTATCTTAATGGGCCATCAGCTGCTTTTGGTCCTGTGGACCACCCAACCCCCGCCCTTGTGTCTTGAGTATGACCTCATGGCATCGATGGCCCCATCCTCCTTTGCTTTTGTGTCTTATTTGTGGGCTTCCCCTCTGATTTTCCCTTAAACATCAGTGTTCCAGAAGCTTCTATTCTTGGCTTTCTCTGTGTGTGTGTGTGTGTGTGTGTTTTCTCATGGGGAAATCTCTTCACCAGTCTCCTCTCCTTCTGACGCTCAAATCAGACTCTCGGTTTTGATCTCCCTGAAGTTGTAGGCTGAAGTGGTCAACCTACATGGCACGCAGTGAGACATGCCTCTGAGTGTCTTCCATGCGTGTCTCGTGGGCACCTTGCAGTCAGCGTGGCTGTCACGAAACTCATCCCCTTTCCCTGGCCTGAAGTGCACCCTTTGCCATGTGCCCAGTTACAGTTGATGGTCCCAGCTGTCTCACTTTGCTCTGGTCAGAAATGAGCAGTCACCCTCCATCAGGAAGCAGGAGGTGTCCAGCTCCTCCCCACCTCCCGCCCATCCCCAGGAGCTAGTCCACAGGTCCTTCCTGCTGCTTTTTCTGGCTGAACTTGTTGGGGCCTCAGGGAGTTTTTGACTTAGAGCCTCAAGACTAATTTGAGTTGACTTGGAACATGAGTTTATTTGCTATCCCTATTTTAGATATCATTCTTTATATACCGCCTCTCCCCCTACCCCACAAACATGTTTACTAATTTCCACATTTGTCTCCTAAACACTTTTTAAATCCATCTTCTCTTTTCCATTTTAATAACTGTGCCCTGATGAAACCCTGGTCCTGTGTTTCCCAGATGACTATGGTGACGTGTCATTGATCCCCATTCTTTTATCATAACCACACCTCCCCTGGACCGCCATTTCCAGAGAAACAATTGAAAGTCACATCTCACAGCTGACTATGTTATTCCCTAAAGCCTTTCCATCGTTCTGAATCACCAAGTCCCTTAGAACGGCCCGCTCCTAGCTCCTAGCCTCAGCCCCTGGACATTCCGCCTAGCAGGTCACTCTCTGGTCCTGCCAGGATGCTGGCGTATTCTGCATACTCCTTGCCTTTAGGATTTGTTCATGTTGCTCTGCTCCTTTCCTTTTTCTTCCCCCCTAATTCTCCTTTTCATCCGGTCCCCTTCACCTCCTTAGCTTTTAAACATCCTGCAAATTTTTATCACAAGTATCATCTACACCAGAAAGTGCTCCCTGAGTCTCTAGGTCAAAGTCCATGTCCTTCATGTTTGCTGTGAGAGCTCTCTGTAGCTACCTTATCTTCTTCTTCTTCTTTATTTTTTTTTCTAATTGGATTGTAACATACCTATACACCATTGCACAAATTATAAGTGTTACCCATTTAAAATTGGCTATCACTAACCACCTTATATTAACTCATCAATTTGTGTTCCTGTCTCCCCAGCTAGACCATTATCTCCTGGAGGTCAATTAGTGTTTAACAAGTAGCCATTATGATATCTGGAACATACTTGAGAAGCCTACTAGATATTTAGACTGAGCCAAACAGCCTGACCTCTGAAATTGGGCTGACGGGAGGGAATTTCAAAACAACTGAAGCAAATCAAATGTTGCCACCTTGCATTTCCATAATAGTTACTCCACCCCCTGTAGATCCTCTCTCAGCAGGAAAGAAGAGGAGAGAGCTATAGAAAACGCTTATAATTATAGAGAGAGGCTCTGTGGCTTGCTTTTTTTTTCGTAATCATGGGAAAAGTGAGAACCATGAAGAAAAAGGGGATGTATATAAACGTGGACCACATCTGGTCGTCAGGGGAAGAAAGCTCAAGTGCACTATAGAAACATACGAAGAATTTCTAATTAGGACAACACTGCTGAAGGCAGTGCAACATAGCCAAAAGGACACTGGACCCACGTTGTCCATCCGCGTCCCGGTTTCTTCTGGGGCCCCCGGTGTGGGGGACTGTGCTGATGGCCATCATTCTCTGAACCTCCAACTGTCTCTGTCTCTGAAAGGTCAGACTGAGTGATTCCTCAGATGTGTAATAAATACCCAGGATATTAAAATTTGTATGACAAATTTCCAACTGGTTTCCCGGCTTTGGCTTCTGCCTTTGACTCGGTACATTCTAGAAACCAGTGCCTATTGTGTTGACCTTGCCTTCAATCCTTCGTCTCTTTCCTCGTGACGCTGGGCTTTTGCTGTGCTCACGTGTTTATTGCCGTCTGTGTGTCGTCCTAGTCTGTGTGACCTGAGTGACCTCGAGTACCTGGATGAAGAGTTCCACCAGAGCCTGCAGTGGATGAAGGACAACGACATCCATGACATCCTGGACCTCACCTTCACTGTGAACGAAGAAGTCTTCGGGCAGGTCTGTGGGTGTGGGCAGCCGGGGTGTCAGTGTGGTGCCCGGAGGCTGCTGGTCGGTGAAGAATGACTTAGTGGCTGAGATCAGATGTGTATTTACTTGTGGCTTGCTGGGTGGTTGAAACCCAGGTTTATGTACCGTTACAATCATCGTAGTTGCAAAGATGATTCTCACGCCAACTGCAGACGAAGGTGTTCTGTTGTACAGTGTGTGACAACTATTTGTGTGTTGTAAGCGATCCTTTTATTTCCAACTGAAATATCCATTTAAGGTATTAGAAGGTGCCTTAAACACAACGTTTAAAAGCCCATGCTACTCCAGAGTTAATGTTGAATTCCTTAATTGGCACTTGGATTTAACTCTCATTCCTTTGTCAGGACTGAAATTTTGTTTTAAGGGATAATTCGAAGTTGAAGGAAAGAAAAACAATATTTTAGTGAAGGTTTGAAAATATTGACCCATCAACCAATGTTTATCTTTTTTACGAAGTCCGTGGAAGGGTTGCCTAAAAGTTTTCTTTGGGAAATTACATAATAGTTCATACGTAGTAATCTTATTTAGACATTAACATTTGGTGACTTTTCTGAATTTTGTGTTTTGGAAAAGGAAGTTCCCGATTGAATATTCACTTGAATGTAATTCTGTTTCCTTAAAGCCAGTCTTTCCTTAAACATGGGCTTTCTGTGTGTGGTTTGATTCGGAACCCTGAAGGAATTCGAGAAAATGTGTTTTTGTCAAATATCCAACCAGCAGTGGCCCAGAATCTGGAACCAATTTGTCGTCACTTAAACGGCTTATCTGTTCAGGCAGGATTTTTGAAAGCTTAACCTTTGCCACCGACTACGTGTGTTTTAGCCACGGAGGCTCTTGGACACACACTCAATGCCTGGGCCGTGGCGTGAGCGTGGGCCCCGGGCGCCCTTCACACCAGCTTGCGGAGCAGCGTTCTCACTCCCTCGAGGGGCTGCTTCACTGTCGGTCCTCTTGTGTGAACCCAGATCACGGAGCGCGAGTTGAAGCCCGGGGGCGCCAACATCCCGGTCACGGAGAAGAACAAGAAGGAGTACATCGAGAGGATGGTGAAGTGGCGGATCGAGCGAGGCGTGGTGCAGCAGACGGAGAGCCTGGTGCGCGGCTTCTACGAGGTAAGACGTCAGCTGGGCGGGCGGGGTGGGGCGGGGCTCCCGGGCCACGTCCACGGGGCCGCAGCCCACCCCCGGTGCTTTCCCGAGTGCTGTCCTTACGGCGGCTCTCTCGGTGTAAAGTCTCCAGTGTTTTGTCCTGCACGTGTGGAAAGCACACACAGAAAGCCTCATGCCTGCTACAGAGAGCATTGACCTGAAACGGCCTGAGCTCCAACAGCATTTGACAGTTCAAAGACCACTGGGAACATGTATGACATGCGTCTGGCGCCTGTGTGGATGCAGACAGTCACTCTACATGGGAAATCTTGTATCGGAGGGTCTGCGCAGACGTTACAAGTATCCAATATCCGTGCGACTTCTTCCGGGGGAGTACTAGATTTTTTATTTTTATTTTTTAAAAAGATGTATTTATTGGTTCCAGAGAGGAAGGGAGAGGGAGAGAAAAAGAGAAAGAGAAACATCTAAGATGTGAGAGAATCCACTGGGGATCGAGCCCACAACCCGGACAAGTGCCCTGACTCGGAATCGCACTGTGACCTCCTGGTTCTTAGGCCGACACTCAACCACTGAGCCACACCGGGTCGACAGCACTAGATCTTTTTTAGAAAAGAAAAAATAACCTAGATTAATCAGTGCTCAACCATGAAACAGAAATTCTGCTGGGAGACTTCTGGTCGGCCTTGTTCTAAAAACACCTTGGATGTGTCGAGAGCGTTGCCGTTTTTTAAAGCACCTACAGGGCATAGCCATCATATCCCCCAAGTTCCGAGCGCCCTCCTTTCCTGGCGAGGCTGGGCGGTTGCTGGGCCTCCTCCAGGGGCCTGAGCTGTGCCCCAAGTTCTTGCTGTTCCACAGGTGGTGGATGCCAGGCTGGTTTCTGTGTTTGATGCGAGGGAACTGGAGCTGGTCATCGCGGGCACGGCCGAAATCGACCTGAGTGACTGGAGGAACAACACCGAGTACAGAGGAGGTGACCTGGGCTGGGGGGCAGAGGGGCTGGGGGTGCTAAGCTAGAGAGGGAAGGGAGGCCGAGGGCATGGCTGCTGGTCCGAGTCTGGGACAGCAAGGACCTTGCACCCTCATCGTAGGCCCGGCACATCTCCTTTTCGACCTGGGGCTAGAGGCATCCCCTTCTCTCCCTGGTTACCTCATCCGCCCAGGGAGGAAGGCCTGCGTACGCCCCATCTTAGGATGTCATCACGCTTAATTGTGGGTGAAGAAATGTGCCCGTCAGAGCACTGATTAATGGCTCTCTGGTGCTGGGAGGGAAGCTCGAGGGAGCTGGCTCAGACTCCACCTGCAGTCTCCCTTCGCTCTAAAACTCGGAGAGGCATCCTCTCTGGACTCCCTAACACACCAGTGTCGTGCTCCTACGCTTAGCTGAACGAACGGCTCGGCAGCTGGGCTTCATGGTGGAAACACGTGAATGGGACAGGGCGTGCCCTCACAGTCCCAGTGGCTTGCTAAACGAGCCCTTCCCCCGTCAGGGAAAGGGCTTATGCCCACTGACAGAAACTGCTGGAAGGGAAGCTACAGGCTGCCTTTCCAGGACCCTCCACTGCTAGTGGTGGCCTCTGGAGCGGCAGGGCGAACTCTCCCTGAGGAACTGGAATGCAGCCACAGTGGCTGGATGCTGAGTCCGTGCACTTTGAAAGGACCTGATGGTAACCCAGTGCCACAGTTAAACTCCCAGGAGGGTAAGCAAAGGAAGAGCAGCGTTCCTGAATCGCAGTGCACCATCACAGAGCCCCCGGTTAGGGTTAGGGTTAGGGTTAGAGTTAGGGTTAGGGTTAGGGTTAGGGTAGCAGCTGCTGTTGTGCAGGCTTGGTGTGGTTTCCTCCCTCACCGTGTGCGGGGTGAGCACCGGTTCTGAGCTTGCAGAGTGAAACAGACAAACTTGAGGTCCCTGGATTCATTGCCGATCAGTCCTCTCGTTGCCTGTCCGCTGACCCAGAAATTCAAAGCACAACGTTAAGAGTTCGGAGTAACACAACACTTGACGTTTGCTCAGTGGCTGTTGTTCTTGCCTGCACGAGGTTCTCCCGGCTCCCGGTCGGCTGGCCCGTTTTCTCCGCGAGGCAGCCTTCAGCTGCCGCAGCGAGTGTCGTCCAGTCGGCCCACAGTACAAGCCGTAGAAGGACTTGGTTACTCCAACTCGGTTAACCAAACACGTTCACTTACTAGAACACCTGTTTCTCCAGTTTCTACCTAACTTGCACGTTACCATACATAGCACTAGCTCATTTCCCCACCCCGGGCGATTCTGCGGGCAGGGCCATTCACCCAGGCTGTGGCTCTTGTATGTGTACAGAATAAACATTGATTCACCGTGTGTGACTTATCGAGTATCTATTTCTACGGTTATTGTAGAGCTTATCAGATGAGCTCCTGGGGAGGGGTGACCGGGGTGGGGCACCCAGCTGCCAGGCCTGCTGACCCCGCCCCGTGGCGCTGCGAGAAGAGGGGCTCCCTGTTCTCGCCACGTGTCTGTGAGGCAGCGGTTCGTGGGGGTCCCATGAGACCCTCCTCCTCCTCCTCCTCCTCCTCCTCCTCCTCCTCCTCCTCCTCCTCCTCCTCCTTCCCACAGCTGGGCACACACAGCGAAGGAAGGCAGCAAAGGGCCGGTGCGAGGGATCAGAGAACGTCAGGCTATCAATCAAGAGCCAGTGTACAGGGTAGAGATGGGGAAGCTGTTTGCTCAGCACCAAAGAGCTGGCCATGCATCCCCACGCCCAGCCTGGTTTGTTTGCCCTTCGCCTGGACCCCTCTCCTCCCCCAGAGCACTGAGCGTAACTGGTCTGAGAGGAAACAGGAAGGAAGGGTCCCAGATCCTATGGCCACTGCGATACGTGCAACGTGCTTCCTCCGACCCAGAATCCCAGTGGCTTGGTGCATGTTGGTGGAATATGTCAATTCACTGGTTTGAAACACTGACTATATCTTGATCTCTGAGCATAATTTTTCTTTATTGAAAGGACGGACATCTACAACTCCTTCCTAATCCACCCATGGGATGGCACTTTTAACATATCATTAAATGCTCCTTAAGTATGAAATAAAAGTAATATTTAGGTTGAAGGTTATCGGGGGTTTGTTAGTTGAAGGAATTAAAGTAGTACAATTCCTTTTCCTTTTTTATTACTAAAGAGTAATTTGATTAAACAATATGAATGCTATATGTAGTTTTAAAATATTTTTCAATTATGTATTAATTTGTAGAATCATTTTTAAAAAAATAAGTTTTTATTGATTTAAGAGAGAGAGGAAGGGAAGAGAGAAACATCAATGAGAGAGAAACATGAACATCGATCAGCTGCCTGCTGAGCGATCCCTGGCTGCACCTCCCACTAGGGATTGAACCTGAAAGCCAGGCATGTGCCCTGACCAGGAGGAATAGAACTGGTGACCGCTTGATGCATGGGTCCATGCTCCACCACTGCTCCACACTGGCGGGGCAGTATAATTATTTGATGAATGTGTCTCTCTTTTCCCAGAAGCCCTGTGAGGGTCTGGTTCCTTGGCCACTGTACCCGCAAGCATGGTACAGTCCTTGGCCTTGGGACCCTCACAAATTATTTCTTAAATGAGTGGCCCAACGAGTTCAGCATTTCCAGTCACAGCGGCTATAGTCTTCAGAGGCGATGGGGTTAACATCCCTTCTTTGTGGCTCTTCTCTCCCCTCGCTGCATTTGGTGGCACTGCAGGGAAACAGGGCCTCTCGCTGTCCCTCAGCGCTGTGTTTGCTGGACTTTTGACACGCGTGCAATCCTGTTCACAGTGTACTCCTTCACCTTACATTATCCGTGACCTTTACGGAGTCCACGGCGAGGAGAGGAGCCGGGGCTGCCTTTTTCAGCGTGTCACGGGTGGCTTCCACTGGAAAAGCCAAAATAACGCAGGCTTTTGTGGTTGGTTCGCCAGGGTACCACGACAATCACATTGTAATCCGGTGGTTCTGGGCGGCCGTGGAGAGATTCAACAATGAGCAGCGGCTGCGGCTGTTACAGGTAAGACGCCATTGGTTCGTCTTTTCCATGCATCCGTAGAGTTGCTGTTGGACTAGCCTGTTTTTAATGCTCGCTGAGGACACCCGATCAGACCATCCCGTGTTTATGTGCCAACGTGGGAGGCACGGTTTCCAGACTCTTTGGATGGCACGGTCCTTGGGCTCCATCACGGGGCACAACGTCCCACACCTTTTATGAGGGAGGCAAGGAAGTACCGCTTCCAGGGCAGGGACCCTGGGTCAGCCTCTGCCTTCAGGGCAGCGAGGCCCTTTCCGAGGGAGTCCCCGGGCCCTCTGCGGGCCGGCACCCTGAGCCACGGGTGCTTTCCGCTCGGTCCCTTAAGAAGTGACCCAGTTCCTTGATAAAGAGCCCTTTCTTCCCCTCCTCCTGCCTGTCACCAAATTAGAGAGCACAACGCGGTTGGAGGACACTGGGAAAAGGAACTCATTTTCTTGTGGTGTTTATAGTCACCCGGGGCAATGGCTGGTGGCTTGCAGCTAGAGAGACCTCAGATACAAGGAAGCCTTCTGGATGCTCAGATGGAGCCTTCCTCGTAGGCGGAGTCTTGGCTGCTCTGGGTCAAGGACCTGCCCTCACATTTGCAGGCCCAGAAATGCTTTTTAATTTCCTTTCAGCATCCCTTTTTTATAATCCACCCCGAGTTGATGAGGGGCTGATGCCCAGTAGACTTAGGTTCATTGACACACCCACTTCATTCACGTGGTGTGGGACCCACCCACCCCTGGGATCCGCTCCCGAGCTGGTCAGCGGTCCAGAGGCTTTCTGTCCTCAGGCCCCCACCCCGTCCCTTGACAAGGCCCGTCCTTCCGTGGCTCTGTGCCAGCTGCTCGGGGATGGCCTTGCCCAGCATAAGCTTTGTCTCCAGCGTCCCCAGCAGCGGGGCGGGCAGTGTGCTCCTCCTCAGGGAGTTCGGCACATGGGGACGCTGGCCGCTGGGCCTCACCTCCTCCTCCTGTTTTCTCGTCGGTAGTTCGTGACGGGCACGTCCAGCATTCCCTACGAAGGCTTCGCTTCTCTCCGGGGGAGCAACGGCCCCAGAAGGTTCTGTGTGGAAAAGTGGGGGAAAATCACCGCGCTTCCCAGGTAAAGTGCAAACAACAGTACTTTGCTGTCACCACGTTGCTCGAGGAAGTTATGCACATGTACATATATACACACTGCGTGGCCAGATTATGTTGACCTCTGAACAATCTGGCCACTCAGTGTGTGTGTGTGTGTGTATATGTTAGAGGCTTAGTGCATGAATTCCGTGCATGGGTGGGGTCCAGCCAGCCTGGCCAGGGGCAGTGGACATGTACGGTTGGCTGGCCAGCCTGCTGATCGAACTCCTGGTCGAGGGGACAAATTTGCATATTGGCTTTTTATTATATAGGATATACACTGAGTGGCCAGATGATTATGCATTCAGAGATCATCATCATCTGGCCACTCATTGTATTAGTGACTGTTTCATGTTAACAGTTTGGGAAAGTGGGACAAGCTTTTAGAATAAGCTTATTTCATTTGATGATTTAGATACCTTTCTAAATGATGGGGGTGGGAGAGCTTCCTGGTCATAGCTAATGTACATAAACACGTAGCTTAAAATGTAAAACGCAACAAGACCAAAGCATTTGTTAGCTTTATCAAGCCACCTTGGTCATCATTACCAGTGGCTCTAATTTAAATGTTTCCAGAACCTCAGTTGGGAAGTTTATGTTAATAACTACTTAGAAGCCCTTCCCTCAGAATCACCGTGGGGTTTCTGCAGAACATTAAGTCATGTGAATGTGCTGTGTACATGGGTAGCTTCCGTCGTCCATGCCTTCATTCTGTGGGAATGCTCTCTGCATTGCACTCTCCTTCATAACAAGATGACATTTCCTTCCCGTGGAAAGAGGGGCTTTGTTGTGGCTACTAATATGTGTAGGAGTCTCACCTTACCGCCATAAAGGTGTGGCACTGTTTATAAACCGGACCGTGTTTGGGGCTGAACGGTAAATGGAGCTGGAGCAGAAGAACCAGAGGGAGCCAGTGGACAGGGCGGAGGGAGGAGTCCATGTTAGACCTGCTTTCTCTGATTGGCACTGACCATGTAGAATTTTTGAGGCAAAAAGGACCTCAGGTTGCCTCTCGTTTTACTGCCAATAAACCTGCACTCCAGAGATGCTGAGCGATCTTCCCACGAGTTCATCCCCAGTGTCCTTTAAGCACAAACAACTAACCTGTTAACAAGACTTTCTTCTTGGCAACTGCAAAACACTAGTTTCTGAGACTCCTGCTACAAGCATCACACCTGAGAAAAGGATGCTGAAGACCCAGATGCAGAGAGCGAAGTATCGTGGGAGCCCTGAGCTGCCCCAGCCTCCTCCGCCACCCTGGTGCACCTGGGCCTGTGAGCAGAGACAAGGCACTGAGACACCGGGTACCAGCTGGTGTGCCTGAAACCCCGGGATACCACCTGGCACACCTGGCGTTCCACTCTCAGCAGCCTGTAGTTTCCTCATTTAAAGAATAATTCTATTTTATGTTTGCCTGAACCGTGTCCTCTCCCCCCTTAAACACATGTTTGTATCTGAAAGCAGATACACGATAGACAGATAGATAGATAGACAGATGATAGATAGATAATTGGTTGGTGATAGATAGATAGATGTTAGATAGATAATTGATAATAGATAAATAGATGATAGGTAATTGATTGATGATAGATAATTGATTGATGATAGATGATAACTGATTGATGATAGATAGATAGATAGATGATAGATAACTGATTGATGATAGATAGATAGATAGATAGATAGATAGATAGATAGATAGGTGATAGATAGATGGATGCAGACACCAAGTAGTGCCTTTCACCCTGTGGAGAAGCTCAGGCCTGGGCACCAAGGAGGCAGGAAAGGGCGGAGCGATTGTGTCCCTTTCTCGTGAGGTCTGGTTCTGCAAAGATTTGCTTCCGGAAAGCAGAGGGGACACCTGTAACAGGAAGCAGCCAGACGTCTTGCTCACCTTGAGTCGCTGCAGTTCCCACCACACCTGGTGAGCCGAGAGGCAGCCTGGGACAGACATGCGGCTGGAGCCCCCAGGCTTGGGCTCTGTCCCAGGGCCTCGTGCCCCAGGGGTCCTGGAGAAGTTGCTCAATCCCTCCGAGCTTCTCTTTCCTCATCTTCCCTGTGCGCTGGTCATTCTGAGGATTAAAGAAATCCTTCATCTAAAGCTTGTGCTGCTGGTCCCGGCCCCAGTGAGCATCCGGTCAGTGTCTGCAGGCTGCCATCATGGCGTCTGCACCATCACCTGCCACGTGTATCAGGAGGAGAAGTTGGGAGAAGCCATAGGTGGGGGATTGAAAAGACCTGGGTTCTATCCTCCCTCTGTCACCACCTGACTCTGGGACCTAGATCTCTTGCTCTCTGGACCTCATTTTCCTCACTTATAAAAAGCTGGGGGGGGGGGGGGGGGAAGGTTAGAGGGGGGAGGGAGATGGCATCTGAGCTTTGGTTGAGCAAGAAGAAACACCGCAGACAGTGGGAGGCTCTCGGAGGTCGGGCTGGAGTGGCCTGTCACTTCCCGGGAGCTCCAGGAAGCCTGTGTGCTGACTCACGGCCAGCGCTGTTGCCGACACACGGTTAGGCAATCGATGGTGCTTCTGCCCTTCTTGTTATGAACGGAGACTGGTTCTAGAGTCTTTGTTTCAGCCAGATTGTACAGTCGCATCTGAGGCACAACAGGAAGGCAGTCTGGGTTCCCACTCAGTCTACAAGAAGCTCCACCTTTTCAGGTCTGAGAGGAGGATAGAGCTGCCTGGCTGTCGTACCGCACACTGGGCCATGCACATGGCCCAGTGGATAGGCATGGCTGCTGACTTGAGCCCGCCGATGCACTGGCTCTGTGATCCTGGGCAAGGGTCTGGGTATCCCCTCCCCCCCAGCCCCCATGAAGAGTGGGAACAGCAATGCACTGCTCAGCGTACTTGTGATGAGTGAGATAACATGTATACCCATCCTCGGGGATAGTCACTCGTCTTTGATCTTTCTCACCTTTTATTCTGAATCTTCTGTAAGATTCAGCATGTGCTCCACAGGAAAAGTGCAGTTGGAAAAACAACAAAAGGAAGAACCTCTTCATCAGCAGCGATTTCTTCATCGGTCACAGTGTCATTGCCTTTGTGCAATGCGGGTGTTGCTGGTGTGGAAAAGACCTGCACGCTTGGTCTGAAGAGATTACCCCACGCCCAGAACAGGCACCACACCATGTGTCAGGCGCTGTCCTCATAGATCTCAGGGGCAGGATTGAAGGGCTGAGTTGTCTCAAGCTGGTCAACCCCAATGCCTTTCTTTTACTTGTCAGTGAGATGGTGTTCCTTTAAAATGTACCGAATGGGTGGCTGTCCTTCTTGCTCAAACAGTCTATTCTTTGAGAGGTCTGGCATCATCTTGGGTCAGGCACGGGAGGCTGTGCTCTGGAAAGCTGCAGGGGCTGTCGAGGGCGGGGCAGGCAGCCCTGGCAGACTGCAGGGCATCAGTCTTTTTTCATTTTGAAAGCTCTGCTTTTTACTCTCAACTGAGGTGCCTTGTGGTCTGAGGGGAAACCAGCAGAAGATTCTCGTACACACTGAGTGTCCAGATGATGATAATCCCTGAACGCATAGTAATCTGGCCACTCAGTGTATATCCTATATAATAAAAGGCTAATATGCAAATTGTCTCCTCGACCAGGAGTTCTACCAGCAGGCAGGCCAGCCAACCACCCATATACCCTCCCCCTGGCTAGGCTGGCCATACCCTACCCATGCACGAATTCATGCACCGGGCCTTAATATATATATATATACAGAGAGAGAGAGAGAGAGAGAGAGAGAGAGAGAGAGAGAGAGAGAGATATGCAGTGAACAATCGGAGAACACCTGCTTGTCCTGTGCTACTTGGCCCGCTGAGTTTGGGTAACAGACCTGACCATCTATAGGAAAGAAGAGAGGGTACGAATGTGACCTCATGGTGAACACTGCAAGAATCCAGAAAGCACCCAGAGATCTGTCTGTTGGGCCAGACCAGATGTCTGAGGGGCTTACACATTCCCTGTGTTGGTGCCAGCGTGACTTCCCACCGACGGCTCGGGCCTGGCCTCCACGAGTGGCTCTGGCTGCGGGGGAAAAAGTGAGGTAAACTCATTAGGGCCCTCGCTCGCGGGGCGCCCCGCAGAAAATCGGAAAGTGTCCTTTCTGGAGCCTGCCTAGCGGGTGCGTGCTGGCTGCCAATGTCAACACTGTCCCAGGGCCTGCTGCTCCTTTCTGCTGGAGTTTTCCCGGGACGTGGGAGGGTGGAGGGGGTGTGAAAGCCTCCAAGGATTGTGTTTTGTTTTGCTTTGTTTTTTTCCGTTCCTGTTTTTGGCTCATACGGCACGCCGATGGTAGGTATTGGGCAATGTGCTTGACCGCACGATTCCTCAATTTCCTCGTTTAGCAGCGCTGCCTTGTTTATGAGGGGTTTTGAAATTCTTTGCAAGCACACAGAATGCTGGTGTGGAAAGCTGGCCCAGATAGCTTCTTTCTAACCCACTCGATGCCTCTCTGCCCGGGGACCAGAGACCGCCTGCACCAGCCGCAGGCCCCTATCCCCCACCCCCAAACCTTCTGAATTAGAATCTGGTGAGGAGGGGTGCAGCCCCAATCTCCATTGTAAACAAGCTTCCTGGTGGTTCTTATCACTCTGAGTGGCTGTTTTCTGGGGATCCCTAGGTAGAGCTAAGCACCCAAAAATCCCCTGGTATCTCCCAGGGTTTTTTGGGCGGACTCAATAGGGACCATTTTCCCCAGAGCTGACCCTGCGTAGTGTCATGGAGTAATGCATTTAGAAGCCATTTGAAGCTGATTTGGCTAATCCCTGGCCTCAGAATGTATGCAGTCTGGGAGGAGGTGGAGGACTAGCAGTTTGCTGTCCGGTAGGGGATGGATGACATTGACAGGCGTCCGAGAATGAAAGAACTGAGCAGATGAGCCGGAGTCCGCCTGCTTTGGTTTTGATGCTGGACTTCCCCTAGGAGCCCAAGGCTGAGGTCCTGCTCTTGATTTGGCCACTGACTCAACTTTGACCTTGGAAAAACCATTTAGTCTTTCTGCACAGTTTCCCCCTTTACAAGATGTACTTTTTCCATCCTCCTGAGGCATTTGTCAGAGGAGGAGCCGGCCAGTTCGCTCAGAAGGAACTTTTCGTTATGGTCACCGTATGTTATATTATACAACCAGCTGTACCTCGGGAGGCAGTGATGGCCTTAGGTCGTGGGCCAGCCACTGTGAGCGTGTCCTCACCGAAGAGGAGCAAGAAAGGTGTCCCGTCCCTCCCTTTGTGTCGGGACCTGAAACCTCAGAGGAAAGTCTCCCCAGGCTTTCGGCTTTGTGGCTTAATGCACTAGTGTCGACAAAGACTGCAGAGGCAGGCAGCATTTCTGTTTCTGTGCTCAGGAACTGGGACAGCGAAAGGCCGCTGTTCACCCCCAGCTTTGCTCCTGCCTGCCCTCGACAGGTATGATGCTATCGAATCTCAGCTAGGACCCCTACCGCCTTTCCTTGGACTTGGACCTTGGGACCTGTAGGAGTTTTCTGTTGCTGTAGAACACATTCCCAGTTCCCAACAGCACACAACTGTTCCATCCCTGCTTCTGTGGCCCAGAAGTCCAGGTGCGGCTTACCTGGGCCTGTGGCTCTGTGTCTCACAAGGCGGAAATCATGATAGCATTTTGAACATTAGTCAAAAGGTGGACACACGCAGATGTTTGTCAACATGTGAGTAACAAACTGGTAAATACATACAATGGACCATTCTTTTCAAAAAAAAAATATTTTTATTGATTTCAGAGAGGGAGGGAGAGGGAGAGAGAAATAGAAACATCAATGATGAGAGAGAACCATCGATCGGCTGCCTCCCACACGGCACCCCACGTGGGACCGAGCCCACAACTCGGGCATGTGCCTTTGGCTGGAATCAAAGCCGGGATCCTTCACTCCACAGGCCGATGCTCTATCCACTGAGCCAAACCAGCCAGGGCTACACTAGACTATTCTTCAACTTTAAAAAGGAAGGAAATTCTGACCCATGATACAACAGGGGACTGGAAAAGGTTATGCAACATGAAACAAGGCAGTCAGATCGAACAAATAGTGTATGATTCCTCCTACGTGAAGTTCCTAGCATGGTCACATTCACAAAGACAGGAAGTAGGATGGTGGGGGCAGGGACAGGAGAGGGTGGGAGTTGGTGATCAGTGGGCACAAGATCCCAGTTTGGAAAGACGGAAAGATTGAGATGGGTGCTGGTGATGGTTGCAGAACAAGGCGGATATGCTTAATGCACAGAACTGTGCACTCAACAGTGGTTAACAGGACACATGGAATGTGCTATATATCTTACCACAATAAAAATTTTAAAGAAAATGAACATGTAGATCCCAAAACAGGAAAATGTTAAAGCAGGCTGACTTGGGGAAAATGCACAGCCTAGTCGATAACCAAAGGAAAAGTATTAAAATTTTTATTTAAAAGAAGTACCATCTTGCCTGGTGGGCATGACTCAGTGGTGGAGCATTGACCTCTAAACCATGAGGTCACAGTCCAATTCCTGGTCAGGGCATATGCCCAAGTTGCAGGCTTGATTCTTAGTGTCGGCATGCATGTGGCTGCTGATCAATGATTCTCTCTCAATCATTGATGTTTCCATCTCTCTCCTTCTCCCTCTCTGAAATCAATAAGAATAAAATTATATAAAAAAACAAAAGCAGTACCATCTTTTAGTCTAATGGAATAATGAATGTTATGTGTCTAACACAAAATCTGGAGTACTGTTGTGGCGTCAAACCCTGGGTTCAAAATAAGACCACCAGAGGCTGATGATTTATTTAGAAAAGCAGGCAAAGATTTATTGAAATATCTGGCCAGGACAGCCGCAAGAGCACCACACGCAGGTGGACTCCATACGACTGCACTGCTTCAGGGGCAGGTAGTTCTTAAAGGTTCTGAGAAGGAAAACCCCTATTTTGCAAGAAACTGTTGTTTGGAATTTTCTGCTGTTCTTCCTAGATAAAATGTTGCTTTAGCCCATTTGAAGAATGATGAAGATAAACTTAGCTGTCTGACCTTAGGCTAGAGACCAAATATGCCCAGAATCTCAATACCATGCCAGGTGCACTTTTTCAATTGGATAGAACTGTTTTGTTTTCAAGGCCAGCATCGAGATAACCACTAAGTGCACATAGGGCTGGCTCTTTAATAAAAATAAAAATTAAAAAAGGAAGTTCTGCCTGTAACCTTGCTTAGAATTTGAACTCATCCTCCCTAAGCCCATCTCGCGATGAACAAAGCAAGTCTCCAAACTCTCCCCCTGCACCGTCCAACCGCTCTGGAACTCTGCAACAGTTCAAACCACAGGAATGTTCCTTTGTTCTAAATTCTAAATCCTAAAGACTATATTCTAAAAACTGGGGTCAGCCCTCAGGGTTGTTCCCAGTCACATCCTGCTGGACATTGGAATGTGGCCCTATCTTGCAGAAGCAGAACTCAGTGGTTAATCTCCAAAGGTTATGGTCCCAGGCACAGGATAATTGACTTAGCGGGTTTAAAATTCAAACAGCAGTTTTTACCAAAGTATGGTTGCCGAACATGCTATATTTCACTTCTAGTCCGAACATGCTATATAGTCCGAACATGCTATATTCACTTCTCTGCTCTTTCTTCCCCTTCTCCCTAAACAAAGATAAAGTCTTCATTTAATCTTCTTATTCCAGTGCTTTCCATAAGTAGACAGGACTGACTTTTAGAATGCAAGCTCCATTTTTTAAAAGTAAAACCTTTTTCCATGAGGCCCAAGTTGAGGTTTCAGTGTAAAGAAGGTATAAGGATTATATTAAATGCAATCCTGAAATAGTTCATTCCATCACAAAAAGGTATTTGGCTGCAAATATTAATTAGATGACTTGCCCTCAAAATGTCCTAGAGTTTGTAATAACAAGAGTTGTGAACTCCGAGTTAGTGCTGTGGCTTTGTCCGAAAACGGGTCTTCTTATCACTGAGCTCCTGTATATCCCTGCTTCTGAAAGGCAGAGTGGGCACACACCTGCCTTCTTAGTTCTTTGTTCTCTCGCCGTTTCCATGAGTCATGAGTCTCTCTTGGCAACTCAATGAAGGCCATTAGAGTGAATCTTTTTGATGATAAGGAAGTGTAGTTAACAATGCACCTCTTATTAATTGGTCAAACAGGATGAGCCACACATTGTATTAAGCATGTTTCTGTCATTTCATTTAATCCTCATCTCCTTCTGAGAAAAATTATGTGACTCTCTTTATTGGGGAGAAAATTGAACTTCAGAGAGTTTCAATAACTCACTCCAACTCCTGGTTGGTAGAGCTAGGTCTCAAACCCGAGGCTAACTCCAAACCGCCACTCTACACTGCATCCAGGGGCATAATTTATTTACTTCATAAGTATACACATGATTTATAAGAATGAAAATGTAAATGTGGCTTTGTAAGAAGGGCTCATTTTTAATAAGGATGCATCTAGAAAGCCCTGGTAGCGGAGAGGCAGTGATATGGATGAAGAAACTACTGCAGGGTTGGGTTTTTTTCCTCTCTATCCTCACAGTCATCCAATTTTTTTCTTTCTTTCTACACAAATTGTATTTATAACTTCACCACTTCTAACTAAGACATAGCTCTTGATATTGCATATTAATTTAGGAGCATTACTGCATTATTTTTAGAGAAAGAGGAAGGGAAGAGAGAGAGAGAGAGAGAGAGAGAGAGAGAGAGAGAGAGAGAGAGAGAGAGAGAGAGAGGCATCACTTTGTCGTTCCACTTAGTCATGCCTTCATTGGATGGTTCTTGTATGCACCCTGGCCAGAGACTGAACCCACAAACCTTTTACATCCAGGATGATGTTCTAATCAACTGAGCAGGGCAGGAGCATTGAAGTCAAAGTTTTGCTCCACAAACACGCTGTTGGACATTCATAATAAAGTGCCTTCCTATTCCATGTCAGACTGTAGATTTGCTTCCTGATAAGATGTTATTATTTGAAGACCGTCAATTATTTTATTGTGATTCAGGTGCAAATAACAGGAAGCATAGTTTTTCCCTATCTAGGCAAAATAGGGGGAGGGGTATTTCTTAAAAAAGGATACTTCAGGTAATGTTTTAAGTGGCCATTATTTTGCGTTGTGATTTAGGAGAAAATATACTCAGAATCCAGAGGCGTCGGCAGTGGTGCCCTGACTGACAGGGAGATCGTGCCAGGGAATTTCCAGAGAATCCACACCATGGCCAGGTCTTCAGAAACACTCGTGGCCATCCCTGCCCCAGAAAACCAAACACCTTGAAACCATTGATTTTTGAAATATCCATGCAAATGCCAATTCTGAAAATAAATTTCTTTGCAAGAGTATCTGTGCATGTCTGTAAAAAAGTGTCAAGAGAAACAAACAAACAAAAAATGTGTATGTCAAATGGATAAGTGGTTGTGAAATAGAAAGAAAACACACTTTGTAAATACCCATTTCCTGTGAGAGAAACTTAATTCTGAAGTTTTGTTTTCAATTCTGAATTTTCAAGTCAAAGTTTTTTTCAAAAGCAGTGTGAAAATAGACAAGAAACCAACTTGCTTGCACACGCACGTGCTCATGCACACGCACAAACACACACACACACATACACACACACTCATGCACACACACGACAATCTCCTATTGCCCTAAGCATTCTAAGCTCCATGTGCTTCTCCTGTTCACAGAGCTCACACGTGTTTCAACCGCCTGGACCTCCCCCCGTACCCCTCGTTCTCCATGCTGTATGAGAAGCTCCTGACAGCCGTCGAAGAGACCAGCACCTTTGGACTTGAGTGACCAGAAGCCCGGTGCCCGGCTGCGTGGGGACAGGAGTGCTGGGAAGCCGCCCTCCCAGGATGGCCCACCACCAGAGGGTCAGAGCGTGCTTCCAGCCGAGGGACGCCATCGCTGGACAGGTCTAAGCCACGTTCGGGGAGTCCTTTCTGAAGGACGGGGGTGAGCATGATGCCCAGGGGACAGCCCACCAGTCTTTCCATCAGCAGCCCCTGACTGCCACCCTTCCTCCCGTTCGTGGGCTCCAAGACCAAGATGAACCTGAGCGGGGTCAGCTCAAGGTCACTGTGCAGGGACTCGGGAGAACCTCGAAACTTAACCTTGGACGTGGTTCAAGCCAAACGGGCAGCCCTTGACCCGCTCTCCAAATGAGTGCGAGCTCAATAACGGAATAAAAACGCGTGCATTTCCCCGAAAGTACCTTTGTGTGGGACCCAGGTTATCACAGAACGTTCCTTTTCTTGCTTACGTGTGCCTGCACGGTGTGCACGTGGGTTTTGGCTTCAACGGGACCCGAGTGGAAACGAAACCAAGTCAACGTGAGGCAACTCAAAAGGTTTTCTCTTGGGTGGTCTGTGACGAGGGATATGCAGAGTGGTCTGTGTGTCCTCATGGCTGGGGACAAACTGTTCTACAGTGAACTCCTCCCGGCAGATTTACGCTTTCTAATGCATGGGACCTATGTTAAATAGCTAGCAACTAACTCACAGCATATCAGGAAAAAGTCCACGGTGAGTTCTGCTCACTTTTTTTTTTTTTGTAGGTTCACGCTATTTATGTTCTGCAGGGTGTGTACAGGAGCCTACCTGTCCTGCGGTCCGTGGTGCCCGACCCATTTCCATGTTCCATGCTTACATGGGCGTCATGCTAGTCGGTCTCCTTTTAAGCCACTGTCCAGGGAACCAAAGGGCCTTTGATTTTTATAAAGGTACAAAACACCCCCCCTCCCGAAATATTTTGCACTGAACGTACCAAAGTTGAAGGGACACTACAAGATGACTGACAGCAGCTCCATCACCTGGCAAGTATAACAGCTTCGAACTCAGACTTCTCCACAGTGCCATGTCTACCACTCCAGGACTGTGCATCTCCAGTAATAATTTTTTTAAGACTCACGGTATGTGATCATACACTATGCATTTATTTAAAATGCATTAGACTCTTCCATCCATCAGATACTTCACAGGATGGCATTTAATAAAGATATTTCGTACCCTCCCCCGCCCCCCCGCCCTGCTCTTTATTTGCACAGCATCATGACACCCCACGCTCACTGAGGGAGCCGTCAGCAGCACCTGAGGGGTCAGCTCTCTGTAGTAACGGGAATTCCGCTCCCTCGGCAGTCGAGGACGTCACAGACGGAAGCCCTCAGCCTTCGGTTCTCTGTTTCCAAGCCTGCATTTTCGCTGATGCTCAGATTCCTCTTCGACATAAGGAAACGGGTCTCCTAGGGCACCCCGGATGCTGCACGGCCTCACTAACATTACATTGGCTTAGTTTTATCAGAGGCGTCCTTTGCTTCTCCTGCTTTTGGGTTTTTCCCACATGGTGGTTTATTTCTGGACAGATGGCCATAACTCACCAGAGGCTCATACAGTGACGTTACTTTGTGAATAATAAACACATTGGTTTAACACTGGTTTGCCAGCTTATGGTTTTACAGGCACGGCACAGCCACTTCTCTGAGCTACAAGGAGCCGTGGGGTCCTCGTGATGGGATGTTGGCGGTCTTACACTTTATAAAGGTCACGGGCATGGGTTTTGTAGGTTTTAAGATTGATTCTCCCTCCTCTCGCCCCTCCTCCCTCCGCCTCCCGTTGGGTAAGCTGCATTTACTGCTGGAGTCTCCAGAGGAAAACCACTCAGGCTATGTTCCTGCACCGAAGGCAGATGCTGCTGTGCGGGGAATGTTCTGGAAAAAGACCCCCAGAGCCCGTGCGTGGGAAAGGGCCAGAAACACAGGGAAGAGAAAACAATTTTAACTGGAGCTGTTAGTGTGTACTTATTGATCATGAATGTAAGCATTTTTAATTTTGCAAATTATTTTTACTTGTTTATATGTTTTCATTATAAGGGAAATAATATAATATACTTTATTAAAAAAACAACTTTTTTTTTTAATGGTAATGTGATGTTTCAGAGCTGGCATTCTCTGAACAGCTGAAACCGAAGGTTGCATTTCTTTTCAAAAAATACATCCACAGACCATGTGAGCTTTCATTTTGGTCTGTGACACTGTTACCTACTCCACATTATCAGGTAAAAGAAATTGGAAGTAAAGTGTATCTCTTTAATTATTTTTAACAAATATACTTATTTGTTAGGGGCATCCAACTTCTCATATAACAGGATAAGCTTCTAGCTGCTACTGTTCTCAGAACTGGGGATTCTCAAAGTTGTCCTTAGCCTATCAAAACACTGTGGGTCTTTGGCCTGTTTTTCTTCACAAGGAAAGCAAAAAGTCCAATGATCACTTTCTAGAATGTTAAATATCATGTCCACAGAATAATGGAGACTTGAACACACTCTACAAATAGAAATATCCATACATTCTTTCTTCTGGACCGTGAACTGGGTAATTTGCTGCATGGCCTTGTTCCTTTGAGAAACTCTTAAGTGATACTCATACTGCCCCGTCTTATAGCATCAAAGACAGTCATAGTGCATCGTGTACGGACGCAGATAGTCTCTGAGATGAGAGGAGAGGCCCAGTGTTGGCATTAGTCCCGTGTCAGCCACTGTGTCTGATTATGGAGCTGCAAATTCAAAATCCGCCCTTCAGAAGTTCATGGTCTAGAGCAGTGGTCGGCAAACTCATTAGTCAACAGAGCCAAATATCAACAGGACAACCACTAAAATTTCTTTTGAGAGCCAACATTTTTAAACTTAGACTTCTTCTAACGTCACTTCTTCAACAAAGACTCGCCCAGGCCGTGGTATTTTGTGGAAGAGCCACACTCAAGGCGCCAAAGAGCCGCAGGTGGCTCACAAACTGCCGTTTGCCGACCACTGGTCTAGAGGATTAGGCACGGAGGTTCAAAAAAGTATTTTTAATAAATCTGGTTTGTTGTACAATTAAGGAGTGAGAAGAGAATGGCTTGTTCCATCTGGGAAGTCATTGAAGACTTCATACATGAGTGCTTATAGCCAAGGGAGGGTGGGAGGAAGGTCACCTCAGTGCCCTTTCTGTTGGGGACCACAGGCATGTCACAGTGTGTTGCTATTGGTCAAGTGTTGGAGCCCATGATTCCTTGATACACGAGGGTGTGAAGTGTGCATGCGGGGAGCAGAGCCTAAAGGCACAACTGGGGGATCTCCTCATTATCAAAGAGATGCCTACGTGAAATCTGGTCCTTTCTGGTTCCTTCCATCTGCACTCCAGTGTACCTTCCATTTTCACTGTGAGAAATGCCAGTCCTTGAGCCCAGCCCACTTCTGGGGTCAAACATTTTTCTTGTGTACAAAGCGATTGGATCTTGGTCAGAGAGGTGTCGCCATCCCTTTCTAGCACCTGCTGTGTTTAGGATGACCCCGTAGGAATTCTGTAGCAAATGAGGGAAAATCTGTGTCACCTGCGTAAGAATCCTGATGGGAAAACGGCCTTCAGGTGGTTGATGGCAATGGTAGCACCTGTTTTATCACACGTCAGAAGGTCAGAGAACTTGCGGGTGCATCATCTCTTCATCCTCACAAACCTCGTGGGGTCGAAGGTATCACGTCCCCTCTGGTTTGAGGCTGGTGTCCGTGGCTGGCTGGTGAGATGTCTCAGTACTTGATAGTTACCATTCTAGGTTTCGTCACCAGAGATGGAGAGCTGATGTTCCTACCAGCATGTTCAGTGAATTTCACAAGATGATTCATCTACCAAAGGCTCGCTTTCTCGAACACTCTAAGAGGTGACGCCTTCAGAAAAGCCCATGAAGAAATGAGAACAGTCCATTCCTGGAAAAACTCCCCATTCGCTTAACGGTTGCCTTTTACTGTTTGTTATAAGAAACGAAAAGAAGAGGGCCCCATTTGATTGCTTTGGGTGGATTTATATAGTATAGCCGTTTAGTTTCCTCAACTACTATTTGGAAGCAACATCATGGGGGGAAAAAGAAGCCTCCTTTTACTTTTTCATTTTTGTTTTTAGGAGGGATGGATCTAGAAAGCCCTGGTAGCGGAGAGGCAGTGATGTGGATGAAGAAACTACTGCAGGGTTGGGTTTTTTCCTCTCTGTCCTCACAGTCATCCAATTTTTTCTTTCTTTCTCTCTACACAAATTGTAGTTAGAACGTGACTACTTCCAACTAAGACAAACATCTTACAAGGAAGAGTCTAACAATCTTCCCAGTTTGAAGCCCATTCAGGAAATTCCCCAGGCAGGTGAAATGATGCTAATGTGATCGATCATTAAGAGATCTGAAGTCTGCACAGTGAAAGCAGGCAAGTGAAGACTCATCTCCAAACTGATCTCAGGCCCTTGGTTCCCTCTGACCTGCTTTCTGATTTAGGTGATGAGTGCAAACACTAGATCTTAGACACCTTCCTCCCGTAAAACCTGAGTTTAAGTCGAGATTGTCACTTTCAATTAAAGTCCAATTTTTGCTAAGTCCATTAACTTGGTCGTTCGATCGTGCTTTCCTGATAGGAGTGTTTGTGTAACATAGAAGAAAAGGGATCCCAGCGACAGTCAGGCTTCTCATTTCTAAATGGTGGCTGAGTGCCAACCGACTGCTCCCCGCTGGGAGGTAAAACATGAAAAAGCAAAAAAGATGTGCCTTGCCCGCCAGGAAGGCAGTGCTAATTACTGACAACAGTCCAGACTGAGGAGTGGTAGCTGCTGCATTCCAGGAGCCTGTGGGACTAGCAGTAGTTCAGGGAGGACCTTCACAGCGGGGAGGAGGGTGCTGAAACAGGGGTAGGAGGATCCTGTTAGGGCTTGCCTGTGGGGTGGGAGCAAGCACTTCAATCTGGTTTCTGACTTTGGAGGAAAAGCGTGCCATGTTGCCTAATGAGGG